TCCATTCAAAAATTGGAGGGGGGGGAGGAGTAAAAGAAATAACTGCCAACTACTCAAGTTTGGAATTTTGCTTCAGTTGGGCCCAAACTGCCCAGTTTGCCTTGAGGTCCTGGGAGTACATAAATATATTTACAGTTGAATAGACCTAGTCCTCTTAATTGCCTAATAAAATCTCCTTCTCCCTAACATGCAGCAATGGGAGAACCTCTTTGACAAATTCCCTTTTTGATGACCCTGTAATGCCTTAATTCAGGGCCATAGCATTGAATTAAATTCCCTAAACTCTAGTGACCACAATCCCATGGTCCCCCAAGTTCTTGAAGCCTCGCTGCAAAGCCTCCTCTCCCCTTGCCATCACACTGCTAGTTACATCTGAGAGGAAGAAAGAGGAAGAGAGGGACCATTTCTGACTCTGTGGTTCTCAGTCCTCCTGATGTCACAGAGCATAATCTGAACATTTACAAGGCTTTAGGAGTTAAACAATTCCAAAGGCAAGTTGAATCGGTTAGCAAGGAATCACTAAAAATAAAACTGAGGACGACTGTCCTGTGTGCCAGTTGGGCCTGTTCGTGGATGAGGGGGCCTTGTCAAGATCACTAAAACCTTGCACCATTCAGAAGCTACAAATGGTCCAGAATAGAGTGGCATGGTATCGGTAGCTATTAGTGCGCCCCCGTGACACTACTATTTTATGAGCTGCACTGGCTCTCAGGAGGCTTCTAGGTGAAATTTAAGGTGCTGGTTTACAACCCTTCTCATGGCACAGAGATTGACCCACCATGAGACTTAACAGATTAGAAGGCGTAAGGAGCAGACTTTTTGGTGTTTGTATGTGGGGAACAACTTCTCTAGAGCAGTGGTTCTCAACCTGTGGGTCGGGACCCCATTTGGGGTCGATCGACCATTTCACGGGGGTCGCCAAGCAAGGCTGTCTGCCATTTTTTTTGTCCATTTTTTTTGTCCACCATTTTTTCCCCCCTTTTCCGGCGGGTGCCTTACCTCCCCTTGGGCTGGGCCAGCTGGTGGTTGGCCTGCTCCGTCTCTGCCACTTGCCAGCTACGCCTTGGCCGGCGCAGGGGGCGGAACCGCGCATGCGCGGCGCTTCCGGGCAGGGAAAGTCCTCGACTTACGACCGGTTGGGTAGTCCTCAACTTACGACTGGTTTAGTCCTCGACTTACGACCGGTTTAGTCCTCGACTTACGACCGGTTTAGTCCTCGACTTACGACCAGTTGGGGTCGCGGCATTAAAAAGGTTGAGAACCACTGCTCTAGAGCCTTTCCCAAGAGAAATAAATACACATAACTTCATCTTAAACAATTTATCCTCGAATCAAATGTTACTCCAGAGAAGCACATTCTTTTTTTTTCTTTTTCTCTGTAACAACATGTAAGTGATTTGTCATTGCCATATTCTGGAATATTCCTTCAACCTCTCCACCTAATTCAAAGCCTCCCATTCAAGCATCTGATCCTGCTTATTACCTAAGTCTAAGACTACAGATGGCCCTTGACTTATGACTGATGGCTTGACAGTTTGAAGTTATGACAGACCTCCCAGGGGGTACTTACAACCCAGTTCCTAAGTTCCAATGGCCAGCCTGCCTCCCCCCCACATGGTTACATGCCACATGGCGGGTGCTAGGCAACATTTGCAGCATCCCATGGTCATGTGACTGCAGTTTTTGCAACCATTTTGCTGGAAACTGGGATTTACTTCCAGTTTTCAGCTAAATTGGCTCACAGCAAAGAAATACCTTGTTTTTCTACGGAGGTTAAAAATGGTCATAAAATTGGGTTGGTGATCTGCTTTACAACCATCATGTCCAATGACTATGATGGGCAGTTCCATTACAATTGTTAAGTCAAGGACTGCCTGTAGCCATATTTGACTAGCTGCTGCCATCACTGATTGACAAATTGATAAGATTTGCATCTTGCCTTTGCTCCAGGAATTCAGGATAGCATACAACAACCCTGTGAGGTAGCTTAGGCTGAAAGTAAGTAGCCAAGTGAGCTTTGGTTATGTGACTGGACTTAAACTTGTGTCTCCCCAGCTACTTGACTTTGATTGAGCTCAAGTTAAGAAGAGATGAACCTCATTAATACACAGCTGGATTACAATAGCCTCGATCTTGTTTTTAATGACATGTACTAATCTGAAATTATACTTTAATCTGATTTGTTGCTCTAATGTAAGACATGTTAGAATGACTATCTAAGAGGATAAACCAGATGACTGGCAACAACTGAGGACAGAGGTAGGATAGGAATCAGCAATGAAGACAAACTTTCACACCATATAATTATATGCTCCCTCAAGGATAGGGAAGAAGAGAAAGGCTCTAAAAGATTTGCAGAAAAAGGATTCATTCCTCAATGCTGTCATCTCTGGCTAGCAGTGAACAACAAGAAAGCCACAAATTGACTCAAGATTATTGGCTGATTTATCTAGGGCACTTCTGCATGGTGGTGGATGTGGTGAACAGAATGCTAGCGGAAGACCGATACTGATTGTTGGTCAGCTGAGGCGAGCATTGGTGGATTCTGGTAAGGGTTCAAAACAGCTGCCAGAAGGATAAATGGGCCTATTGCGGATCTGAAAGTTTGGGAGAGCTAGGAATGGGTGGTGATGTAGTGGTGCTTTCAATCCAGTCTCCTGGTTTCTGAGATTTCACCTGATATTAATCCCATGACTTAACACCCATCTCTATAAGCTTAAGGAACAGAAACCCGATTGAAATTGAATTCTAGGACAGTGGTGGCGAACCTATGGCACGCGTGCCAGAGGCGGCACTCGGAGCCCTCTCTGTGGGCACACATGCTGCCACTGCCAGCAGCTTGCGCAGGTACATTAGGCTGCCACTGCCGCCCAGGGCAGCAGCCGCACCCAACACAAACAAGGCGAAGCGGCCAGCTAGCGAGCTCAAGTAGAGGTGGTAGAGCATGCCCACACCCAGCAAGCCAAAGACCACCCCGAGCAGGGAAAGCCAGATCCCCATCGGCGCCATGGCCCCCTAGTCCCAGCTAGGATTGCATGCCTCCCCACATCTATGTTGGGCCCACCTGCCAGAGACCCTCTGGATCTTCCCCAACCCTGCCCGGTCCCCACAGGTGCCCCCCATGAGCAGCATCGAGGTGGCCATGCCCACCCCAGCCACGCCCCCCAGTGGGCCACACCCTCATGCCCCCGAGGGCACCACAGTGCCCTGGCACTTTGCAATAAATAAGTGGGTTTTGGGTTGTGGTTTGGGCACTTGACCTCTAAAAGGTTCGCCATCACTGTTCTAGGAGGTTACATTTTGTGTTCAACACAATACTGCAATATGCAGAGGCAGCAATAAACTGGCTATCAATGGAAACCGGACTGGAATCTATAGAAGCTATAAATATATGGTCTTCTTCAAAGTAGTAACTTAACATTTTGGCAGCAATATGAAAATGGCTTGTCAATGTTTTTTTTCCTGAGATTTTTTAAAATATCAATTTAGTCTACAACTGTAAACATGTGGAGGTATCCCATCCAAATACTGAACAATTACAACCCATTTCACTTTTGTGCCAGACAAGATTGCCAGGTGCTGCCACCTACTGAGATCTTAAAGCTATAAAGTTGTTAGAATTCTGATATTCACATGTGGAGTAGCAAATAAAGAGAGAAGGAACAAGTGGCATCCTTCAAATCCTTATATTTTGATTTCAAAACATGTACAGGTAGTCCTCGACTTATGACAATTGAGCCCAAAATTTCTGTTGTTAAGTGAGACTTTGGTGATCTGCTGTTAAGTGAGTTTTGCCCCATTTTACGACCTTTCTGGCCAAAGTTATTAAGTGAATCATTGCAATTAATAAGTTAGTAACCTAGTTGTTATATGAATCTGGCTTCCCCATTGCCTTTGCTTGTCAGAAAGCTGTAAAAAGGGGATCATGTGACCCTGGGACGCTGCAACGGTCATAAGCATGAACCAGCTGGCAAGCATCTGAATCTTGATCACATGATCATGGGGATGCTGCAAAGCGTGAAAAACGTCATAAGTCACTTTTTTCAGTGCTGTTGTAATTTTGAACGGTCACTAAATGAGCTGTTGTAAGTCGAGGACTACCTGTACACAGTTTGACACTTTCTACATTTTTATTGCAAACACAGAGAAGACTGGAGACTTATGTCGGCCTCTAAAATAGAAATGTACACAGTGTGCCTGAAACAATAATCATATTATGGAGGATACAGAGGAATTACTGGAAGGATCAACCCAAAAGTGTGCCATGTGATTTTGTATTCACACCTTTCCGAAGCGTACCTTTGTTTCTCAGGTTGGCAGGTCACCTCGCTATGGAAAAATACTTTGTCAGAGCTGAGAAAAGTCTGCTTGAATTCAGTAAATTATATCTCCCTGCTTGCCTGTTGCTGACTGATGGACTAACTTAGGGAACAATATCAGAATCTGGAATATTGTCTGGACAAGTAGTCAATAGTGATGGAAAACACTGAATTTTTTGCAATTTAAAAAGGCACAAGGTAAACAATTCTCCTCCTTCAAATTCCTACAAAAACCTTTTCCAACTACCGTAGATGCCCACCAGATTGATTGGAGAACAGCTCCCAGATTTCCTTTGCCAGTCTGCTACATATGGAGGGCAGGGTGTTGAGAAGGAGTAAAATACTGCCCCCCCCAACGATTTATCTATCTCAACGTATTCAAGTGGAAGAAGGATTTAGTGCTATGCCAGCAGCTGCAGGCCACAAAACCACACAGATTTTCAAGTAGGAAGAAGTCCCTAAGCACAAACATAAACCAAAACTTGGAAATATTTATTCTCTTAAGAAAGGAATAAGGCTGGAGAAAAAAAAAATGATTACCATAAAATGGAAGTAAGCGTTCAGAAAATTTTAATAAAAATGTTATCTATTTCCAATGTTACCTGCTTCTACCCAGTCAGCCACTGGCTTTTTAGTAGAAGCCCCCAAACTTCTTCCCATGACAGTTGACAAGATGCTTACCATTTGTTTTTGTTTCGGAGTAAGAAGGATTCTCCTCAAAAGTAAAAATTTGGGGAACACAGGCAGGGCCCCCAACACTTTGTCCCAAGTAAGAGCCGGAGGGATAGTAAGAATGCATCCTGTACTGGGAACTCAAGCTGTGCCGACCTTCTGGGCTTTTCACCTGTTAGGAGAAATAGCAGAAAGAGCACATCATACAAGCACGCAAAGAGAAAACCTACATTGGATGGGGGCAATTTTCCTTACCTCATAGTATATTTTTGGCTTATTGCCATGCTTTCCTCCCACTGAATTCATCCCTGGAACTTTCTGTCCGAGAACATTAAACCTGAAATATTTATTTTCTTCCTATGCCAACAACTTCAGTGTTATTTCTGGAAAGCCATTTTGAAGCCTGAAGTGGTTCCCAGGTCTCCACAGAAGTGAAATGCACTTCGTAAAGGCTAGCCCGCCGACAACACTATTCATATTTATCTTTGTATAGTTTTTTTCTATTTTTTTATGATTGTAAGCCGCCCAGAGTTACCCTGAGGTAAGATGGGCGGCCAACAAATTTAATAAATAAATAAAAATGTGGTTGGCTACTGCTCATGATTTTGCAGATTTGGGATTGTGCTTCAAATGTCTCCAGCCCTTCTTTGATTAGCAATGAGGAGGAGATCCAAGTGGTATGAGGAAAGAGCTAAGGCCGGAGTGCTTTCAATTCTCTTCCAAGCAATCCAGTTTCCAACTTTCACATGAGAACACCACTGTTAAAGGATCTGTTGTCTCCAGGAAAAACAAAGTAAGGATATGCATACTGCCCTGATTCCTACCTTTTGTACAGTATTCAGTCTCTCAAACTGATCAACACTTTATTGCAGGGCTGTCAAACAGGCAAATTATTTATTCTCGGGCAAAGTAGTTTCCGTGTGCGAGAAAATATAAGCGGTTTACAAATGTAAGACAAGAGGCGTAAAAACGCCAAGCGAAGCCTTAATTTCGGAATGAGGTATCCCATTTCAAACCCTAAACTTCTTTTAGACAAGACGACATTCTGGCTGCATGAAAACAAAGGATTTGCACATCTCAGATGAATCTGTTACAGATCTTGTCCAAACCAGGAAGACTCAAATGTTCACACTTCCAAACTACAGAGTGCAACCACAGAGTACAAATTGCAGCAAAGTAAAATAATATGAGTACACAAAGAAAAGGTGTACATGGGAGAATTGTACATTTCAATGGACATTCTTTATATGGTAGGTTTTCAGGCGTATATGCTTTCTGCTGAATTTTGTAAGACCAGGCAAAAGTCTCTCTCTCTCTTAACCTAACCTAGGGGTAGGCAACCTCAGCTCTTTTATGACACGTGGACTTCAACTCCCAGAATTCCTGAGTCAGCTATGCTATGCTGACTCAGGAATTCTGGGAGTTGGAAGTCCACGAGTCATAAAAGAGCCGAGGTTGCCTACCCCTGACCTAACCTATCTCACCGGGTTGTTGTTATGGAGAAAGTAGAAGGCCAGAGTATTAGTTATATTCGCCACCTACTGCTTGATACTTATATTCCTGTTATTCATATATTCATAGTTAGTCATAAGTTGAGGACTACCTGTATAGGAGGTTACCAATTTACTAGAACTCTGAATCATGATCCTGTATTTTTCAATCATGAAGAAAATTGGAGAGATGCTTCTTAGGGCAACATTTTTGTACAGGCTGTTTTTTCAAGCCTGCTGTTCATGATCTCCTTTTATTTTGCTGTGAAAAAAAATATCTTTATTTCCTTCTGTTCTTTTTTTTTTTGTGTGCACCCTCTAAAAATAATAACTGCAAAAGGATAATATAATTTCAGAAGCGATAAATTGCACCACTACCCACTGGTGCTTAAAGGTGTTCTACTTTGTTTACCTTATGTAGGCAATGATCTGTTTCCTTTTGAGCCTTCTCGTGCTTCTCCCATTTCTTATTCTTTAAAAAAGCCAACTAATTTCCCAGGATCCAATGACTTATTACAACTATTACTAGTAGTATATGCTCCTTGCCTAGAAAGACATGGTTTATAATCTTATTATCTGCACCAAGCCTGTGAACCACAATACGACCGACAGACAGAGGCGAGGCAAGGCTTTGCAAACTATGTGTTGAATTAACCAGTCGAAAAAACTAAAAAGCTTTCATTTTTCTTTTATTAAAGTATTTAGAATATATATAACACAGTAAATCTGAACCATAAGGTTTCCTTTTTATAGGGTTTAGTTACTCTATTTTATAGTTAACAATAAAAACTAGCTAAACATTAAAATGTTTGACCTTCGCGTGGTATTCATGAAACGGACCCAGATGATCGCTTAATGCTGACAGTGAACTCTTTTAGCTTGACAATGAACATGCGTGCTTCAGTGTGCCATGTATGTTTCAAAAATATACAATTAGCTCTGGGGATAAGAGAAGAAGGCAATAAGATTTAAGAGAGAGGCACTTTAATCTTCCAATCTAGGAAATAAACACTTTCGAAGCAACTATACCAAATAAATTATGACTTTTGTAAACTTCCTCTTACCTATTCTTGTTTCAGAGTCAAGGCAGATATGAGATTCAGAAAAGCTGGGTTGTACATCCCAGATATTACCAAATCCATTACTGGACACATTACAATGGGATGCTACTTCTGCCAACCTATTGTTTCAACAAAGCCTCTCAAAGGAAATCTATCCATGTACAAGAACCTTGTTGCCTCTTGCTGAACTAAGCATACTGTTAATAGCTGGTCGTATTTTCCCATATTATCCTCTCTTATGGACTGACTGTGGTAATCACCCACAGAAACATTCTCTAACATGACACCATCCAGATACGTTGGAATGGTAAATACTAGCAAGCAAATTCGTTAGAATTTGGAGAGTTTCAATACATCTTAAATGTGTGACAGTAAGAAAGGTTCCTCTAAGGCAGAGGTCCCCAACCTTTTGGGCACCAGGGACCAGTTACGTGGAGAGAAGTTTTTCCGTGGACCAGAGGGTGCGTGGTTTTGTGTGCTGCTTGCATCCCACGGATGGGGCTTTGCTTGTTTGTGCGGACTGGTTGCTGGCATACCGCAGCCCAGTACTAGTCCACGGACCAGGGGTTGGGGAACCCTGCTCTAGGGTAGTTTATTCCAAACAGATGCTTTTGAATTCTGCAGATTTCAATTTCCAGAATCCCAGACAACATGGCTGTTGGTGAGGTCAAGACAATATATCAGGAGATTGCCCAAACTGGCAAAACTGCTCTGGAGTTCAGAATTATACGGAATCATTATACAATAAGGATTATCGTAAGGACTAAGCATCTTCCTACCATAATTGCTTTTCAATTTTAGTTCTAAAGCCCCGAGTGGCTTTTTCACCATTAAAAGATATACAGTGATGCTGTGCTTGCCTCCCATGGATTCTAAGTTGACAATGTAATTTTCATACAAAAGGACCATCTGTATCTGTCCCACCTTGACAGACAAACTCAATTAACCTTTGCTATTCTCTTCCAATCTACCCTTTTAGACAAAAGCAGTGATCCACAAACAATACGTTACCTTCAGAATCTCAACCACTGTGACACCAAGAGATATAGTCCTATCAGCAGTATCGGAAAATAAACAACTTAGATTAGTTTCTCTAAGAAATATGGATTATATTCATGTCACACTTGAGCTGTCAGAAACATTAGGTTACTTTTAGCATAAATCTGCGTAGCATAGTGTACGATATGCTGTCTGAATGGCAAACCAGAACAGATTCAAGTTGCTGACATAATTCAACTACGTTAATATTAAATCCAATGTTTAAATTATAACTGGCTGGCTTATAGATTAGTCATGACTAATTTAAAAACAATGTTGGCATTCAATTAGTAGAACATCTCTTGACAACATTTTATAATTCTGTTTCATATGGGGATAAACAATCTACACAAGACTTTTCAAGTCTGTTTTGAACCAGTTCAAACAGATCATTCAGCAGAAATGATCCAGCTGACATTCCCTGCTTGGTCATTCCTATGTAGCTTCTCCTCTCACTTGGGAGAGTTTAGAGAAATCAAAGAAAGTTCCTTCTGTGGCTTTTTTACCATTATGCTGAAGAAATCAATATGAATCTTGGCTTGTGTTTTTCTCAATAAGCCAGAGCCATTTTTTTGTTCTTAGCTTATGACTATCATTTATAGGGGAAAACAAGCCTGGTTTGGAAATAATACTACAGCAAACCATAGATGGGACCATCTGATCTGGTTTAGCAATGTCAACTGACAAGAAAAACCAAAACCAAGTAGGAGCAATTAACTAGTGTATACCAGCACATCTGCTCATTGGACCGCTGGTTCCATCTATTTCTGTTATTTCAGTCGCAATGTTTTTACCCTCTCCTTGACTTTAATCTTGGACCTTGGTCTAGCATGCTATTTTTATGAAACATTCTGTGTAAGCATTAGGTAAAAGACAAAGCTACTGGAATAATTTTAATTTGATTTGAGGGATTTAGTACAAATTGTTGAAGGACATGAAGAACTAATAATAATAATAATAATAACAACAACAATAATAATAATAAAGTTGGAAGGGACCTTGGAGGTCATCTAGCCCAACCCCCTGCTCAGGCAGGAAACCCTATACCATTTCAGACAAATGGCTGTCCAGTCTCTTCTTAAAAACTTCCAGTGTTGGAGCATTCACCACTTCTGGAGGCAGGTTGTTCCACTGGTCAATTGTCCACTGGTCAATTGTCAGGAAATTTCTCCTTAGTTCTAGGTTGCTTCTCTCCTTGATTAGTTTCCATCCGTTGCTTCTTCTCCTGCCTTCAAGCGCCTTGGAAAATAGCTTGACTCCCTCTTCTTTGTGGCAGCCCCTGAGATATTGGAATACTGCTATCATGGCCCCCCTCGTCCTTCTCTTCATTAAACTAGACATACCCAGTTCCAGCAGCCGTTCTTTATATGCTTTAGCCTCCAGTCCCCTAATCACCTTTGCTGCTTTTCAGGTTTAGGCAGAGATGTGGGGCAAACTGTGGCCTTTAAGTTCCTTTGCTGAAATCCTTGGAACCCACCCCCAAGCCACGATTGTTGAAAATGCAGCCATACCACTGGTGTTAGTGCTGATTGCAAAAAACACGTTCTTTGCTTCAGCGACTACAGTACAGATAATCCTTGATTTACAACTATTTGTTTAATGACCATTCAAAGTTACAAGGGCACTGAAAAAAGTAACTGTTTTTCACACTTACTACCGGTGCTGCATCCCTAGGGTAACATGATCAAAATTCAGATGCTTGGCATCTGACTCGTATTTGTGACGGTTGCAATGTCCCAGGGTCGTATGATCACCTTTTGCAATCTTTTGACAAGCAAAGTCAGAAAGTCAGATTCACTTAACAGCCGTGTTACTAATTTTAACAACTGTGGCAAGAAATAGCAATAACAATAGCATTTAGACTTACCGTGTTTCCCTGCAAATAAGTCCCGGTCTTATTTTTATTTTGCCTCCAACAAAGGCACCAGGTCTTATTTTGGGTTTTGTGTGTTTTCCACTCACCTCTAGCACTGACAGCCCCGCCCAGCTGGCCCACTTCTTCTGCGGCTGAAAGAGCAGCTTCATTCTGCAACTGAGAATGGAGCTCCGGCCTGCATTTCGTGGTCAAAGGCTTTTCCGGAAGGCCACTGCAGCTGAGAACCGAGCTATGGATTCAATCCATAGCTCAGTTCTCAGCTGCAGAGGCCTTCCGGAAACTTTGACCGCGAAATGCAGGCCTGGGGACGCCACAGAAGAAGTGGGCCGGTGAGGAGAGGTCTGGCTGCAAGGTAAATGGGTGTGGGCCGCGTGGGGTTGCTCCAACACCCCCCACCCTAACTTGATTTTTAGGTGTGTGCCTCGCCCCAAAACTAGGGCTTATTTTTCGGATAGGGCTTACATTAGGCCCATCCCCAAAATCAAGCTAGGGCTTATTTTCGACGTAGGTCTCACTTTCTGGGAAACACAGTATATTCCACTTCATAGTGCTTTACAGCAGAGGCCCCCAACTTTTGGGGCACCAGGGACTGGTGGAGAGTCTGTGGAGAGAGGTTTTTCCACAGACCTGAGGGGGCATGATTTTGCGTGCTGCCTGCATCCCATGGATGGGGCTTCGCTTGTCTGCATGACTCGGTTTTTGGCATGTCGTGACCCAGTGCCAGTCCATGGACTGGGGGTTGGGGACCCCTGCTTTACAGCCTTCTCTAAGCAGTTTACAGAGTCAGCATTTCCCCCTCCCCCAACAATCTGAGTCCTCGGAAGGATGGAAGGCTGAGTCAACCTTGAGCCATTCAGAATCAAACTCCTGGAGTGAGCAGTGAGCTAGCCTACAGTGCTTCACATTCAAACCACTTTGTCACCATGCTCTTAAAGGTCGTAAAGTTGTTGTTGAGTTGTTAAGTGAATCACTGCAGTTGTTAAGTTAGTAACATGATCATTCACTGGAGATTTTTAAGAAGAGGCTAAACAGTCACTTGTCTGACATGGTATTGGTTCTCCTTCTTGAGCGGGGGGCTGGACTAGAAGACCTCCAAGGTCCCTTCCAGCTCTATTCTATTAAGTGAATCTTGCTTCCCCATTGACTTTGCTTGTCAGGTGGTCGCAAAGTGTGATCACATGACCCCAGAGCACCGCAACCATCATAAATATGAGTCAAGCATCTGAATTTTGATCATGTGACCATGGGGATGCTGTAACAGACATTAAATGTGAAAAACGATCATGTCACTTTTTCAGTGCTGTTGTAACTTCAAACGGTCACTAAATGAACTGTTATAAGTTGAGGACTACCTGTACTAATAACAGCAGCTATGTCTCTATGGTTGTTCAACAAACCATGGTTTAAAATCTTGACTTAACATTTCTATATACACCTCTTAAACTAGCCTTTCCCTATATTGGATCTACAGTTTTCAGAATTCACACGGTTATGGAAGACCCTGCTGAAGGAACAAGTACTTCTGATCCTCGCCCATTATAAGGATTTTACAGATTTTGTAAAAGAGCTTTGGACCAGCATCACCAGCCATTAGGGATGAGGGGCACTATAATAGGGCCTCTCATGCAGTCAACCTAAAATCATTTTAGGTGACTCCCACCTGAGGTGAGCTTTGAGGGTAGAGGTGATGGGAGTAGCATCTTCTTAGCTGAGATAGCAACTACATTCAGTCATCACATTCCAAAGAGCTTAAATGATGCCTGAGTTTTCTTAAATCCTTCACACACAAGTTGTTTAGGTCAACAAGCTCAACGCCTCTTGCAATTAATAATGTAATATACCTGTTGGTACACCCAATTAATTTTTCCCTTTAGCCTTCCATGGCAGCTACTTCATATTGTCTTCCCAAACACTGCCACAGGAAGGAAATAAGAACAGAGGCCCTTGAAAAGGAAAGTGGTAATTTGGGAACAAAATGTTTTTAAATATAAAGCTTTAAAGACATGTGTAATTCATATATAGGCACTATCGTTGCCTGAAGCCTCTGAACAGCCTTTTCCTTTACCATATCCTTGTCAAGAAGGGAAAATGCTTACAGTATCTCCAATCTTTAAAAGGTCATCTGCCTGAGACTTGACGCCTCTTCCTGAGAATCATGTTCTTGTAAAAGACATTACAATTCGTCTTTGGCCTGCTTTGAAAAACAGCTTTTCCTAGTTGGATAAGTCCCTAAATGCATGAAATGTAATCACTCCAAGGCTGAAAGCAAGTGGTAGGACAGACGTCCTGCAGCTGGAAGGCCCAGGTTGTATCTCCAGAGGGAAGTAGGAAAAATTTCAGACCGAAACGCCAAAGAGCCGCTGCCAATCATATTAGACAGAGAAATGGTCTGCATCAGTGTGTCATACAATTTATTTAATACTTTTCAGGCTGCTATCTTTTATTCAGTGGGTTTATATCCAAGTAGAGTTCTCACCAATGCAAACCATTTTCATAATAAACGTAAGATAATGAAGCAATGTGGCAAGTCTTTATCCAGAGAAACAGCAGTTCTGTTATTCATTTATTCTGCACAAACGCTATGATTTTTACCCCCCCTTAGTTTTTCTGCATATCAATTCTGTGGAGTCGGGTAGGGTGAGCAATGATCAAAGTTTAACCAATGTGCTTCATGGCTAAGTGTGAATTTAAACCAATATCCTCAGTTCTGGTCAAATGCTCCACTACTAGTTACATTTATGTAAAAATACAAAACCAGTAACAGCAAAGAGAACGACTCCTGAGATGCTGATAAACATAGATTCCCAATAAATCTCAAGACAGAATCTTAATTAACATTTACCTATTTTGAGGAGGGAAGAACCTAAGAGAATGACAATTCTGTTTGTGTCTTCTTTTTTTTTTTTTTGGAACACATCTGCTCCTCCCTAGATATGTTGAACTACAATTGCCACCGTCACTGACAATTAGCAACAATAACTGGGAATAATGGCAGTTTTAGCCCCAAATCTCTGGGGAATATCAACTTAGGGAAGATGTCATGTGCTTTGAACCTATAGAACCACAGCAATTCCAGTGATTCTCAATGAACTCAGAACAATCTTAATTCATCAAACAAGGCCATGCCTTTACTCATTTATACTGTACCTACTCATTTATACTGTACCTGCCATTGGTTTCCCGACTGGCTTGACATATAAGTTGTTGGGAGGCTTCGGAGGCTGCTCTTAACAGGTGACCCTGTCAGTGGACTTCCCATATCACCAGAGGTGGTTTCAGTGGCCACAGCCATTTGATACTGAGAATAGTTGTAAAGGTTGTTGTAATAAGGATACAGGGATGGCTGGTATAAACTGCTGTAGTAGGTGGGGTCCATAACTAAGTCAGATGTGCTCTCCAGATGCCCTCTGCTGGCCAGGGAAGGAATGTCTTGAATCAGCATCCGTCCTTCTGTAAAAAGAGAAAGGGAACAAAAAAGAGAAAGAATTGAAGAAAGGACCAAATTATTAAGCAACAGAAGCAACCTGAAAAATCTGCATTTTATCCCTTGGTGCATTCTGGACTACAGAATGCATACGTTTCGTTTTCTTTCATGCTCCCTCGTCGTTGACTTGTCTCCTACCTTCATCATCTCTTTACTCTAGTTTTATTCAGAAAAAGATGTAATAGAGTCCACGGTGTTGTTCTCCTTTTTTAGCATTAACAGGTAAGTATTTTTTCGTAAATCACAACGGTCAGGAGGACGTGTCGAGTCAAGGTAACGATGGAGAAGACCTTTTTTTTTTTTTTGATTTACCATCTTTATGTCCTGCTTTTGCAACTAGAGTGGAGTCAATTATAGTAAAATTTAGATGGATAAGCAGATTATTTGTCTTCACACCTGAGATCCAACACCCTCTATGGTACCTGGTTCCACATCACTGACTGCAGCAGAAATGGGAGGACATGTGCACGTAGTTCTTCACTCACGACCATAACTGAGTCCAGGATTACACTTGTGAATCATTAAGGTCTTACGTCAAGAGACCCTGGTGACCAGAAGAATTTTTTTTTGTGGCAATTGTTAAGCAAACATCACAGTCATTAAGCAAACTCCATGGTTGTTAAGTGAACCCACTCATTTGAACGGGTAATTTTTGTGGGAAACTAGCAAAAAACATTGCAAATCACTGTGACGTAACCACAGAATGTCATCATGGGTTGTAAAGCTAACCCACCCAATATGCGCCCATGTGACTGTGGAGGGGGGGGGAGTGAACCATTTACAATAGACCACAAAGCACCCGTTCTGTAGCTGTCATAAATTCAAACAGTCATAAAGCAGTCAATAAGCAAGGACTATCTGTCGATATTCTTCAGTCCTCAAATTGCATTTACACACATGGCTGTGGATGATAGGAAGTTGTAGCCCAGGACCTAAAGAAGGAAGCACTTACCTGTGCAAAAAGGGCTGTCTTGGACATCTCCAAAAGTAGAGCAATGTGCTCCCCTTTCCCTAACAAGTGAGACTCCATATCACAATCGCAAGGAAGTATTCGTGTTCATATTAATAAGTAATTCTGAGTCTGCACAGATAGATATGTCTTCAATTAGATTTGGCTCAATTACTCACTGGAATATTTGAGATGCTGTCATACTACAGTTTGATTACTGGGGCAATGTCACTGTAGAAACTGCAGTATCTTCCAAACCAGGAGGAAAATATATGGATTATACCAAATAAAAAACCCATATTTACTGTTTGGGCACAAAAAAAAAAGATGACCATAAGTATGGAAAGGGTAAGGCTAATACTACTAATATTACCCTATACATTCTTCCATCACTGAAATGAATTAGACTACAATTCTCAAGAGTGACACCATCTGACTGTAAAGTGAGAAAAACCCACACAAGCCTTCCAGAGTAGTCATGGAAATTAGATTGACCACTGCATTTAAATGGACAATTCTTTCTTGCCACTGTTTGCACATTGCGGCAGCACACAACTAAGCTCTCACATGATTTATTAAAATCTGAAAGCCAACTGAGAAAACAAGTTGAGGGCTACATCATCTTGCCACATGGCCTATCTTTGAATCAAGCTGTATTATCATATTAGCAATGTCATTCCTCATAAACTGTCAACAGTGAAAGCAATAATGATTTCGACAAAAAAAATGCCACACTTGGAATTAAATGACTTCTACAATCAATAAACAAATCATTCTAAGCAACTGGTGGCTAATTCACTGGCTATAAATCAGAAAAGCACCAATGTGCACTGCAATATCGGAAAGGAAAGGAAAGGAAAGGAAAGGAAAGGAAAGGAAAGGAAAGGAAAGGAAAGGAAAGGAAAGGAAAGAGGGATTTATTTGCTATAGAGATCCACAATGAGGCAACTTCAAGATTACAGCATAGACGCTGTTTTTCCTTAAATTTCAAAACCTAACCGGTAGAGTTGTATATAAAAAAGAGAAATTGTTTGTTTATTTATTAAATTTATATGTCACCCACCTTCCTGATAAGGCAACTCTGGATGGCTTAAAGATCGTAAAAAAGATAAATAGAAAAGCAACTAAAAATTTAAACTATGCAAATTAAAAATTTAAAACATACAAAAAACCAGGAACCAAGAGACGGACGGTATAGGGACACGGTCTTTTTATCCTGTCATCCACTTCCAGCAGTGAGCACCCACCTTGGGGGGCCCCAAGCCAACTAGTAAAACCAAGTTTTAATCCCTTCCAGAAGGCCAAAAGCACATGGGAGCAGTTCTCACCTCCGATGGTAGAGTGTTTCACAGAGTCAGGACAATAGGGGAAAAGGCTTCTCCTTGACTCCACCTGCCAGAAGGGGGTGTGTAACAGGCCTCTTCCAGAGACACAGAAATAGGCTTAGAATTAAGGAACTGGACACTCTCAGCTTCCACGTGAGCACTGAGGTCCCAGCTTTCATATCAAAATTCATTATTTTCTTTTCTTGGTTATATTTTAAGCTGCCTCTTTTTGGGAAGGAGGGATATGGAATAGAAACCCTTCCCAAGTTATCCCTTGGAGAGAGACTGTCTAAGCCAGGGGAAGGAGTCAAGCAGATAATTAGTCTGGAATCCTTATGTAGGCACAAGAGGGCAGCCCATACTCCCCTTGAATCCCACTGAATCTTATCTAGTTTGGTCTAGGTCAGTGGTGGCGAACCTATGGCACGCGTGCCAGAGGCGGCACGCGGAGCCCTCTCTGTGGGCACGCGCCATCGCCCCAGCACACGTGGTCTCTAAAAGTTCGCTCCATGCGAGGGTTTGGGGCGGCAGGAGCAGGACACTCCGTGCGGGGGTTGGGGCAACGGAAGAATGCTCCGTGCGGGGGTTGGGGCGGCGGGAGGNATGCAAAGCAAAAGAAAGTACGAGGGAGCAGCAACTGAACAGAGGATGGAAGTAGTAGAGAAATGAGATCAAAATAAGTCTTTTTCTACATTATCTCAGGTGCCACAACAAGAGGAAAAAATCGTAATTGTCCATTCATAAAAAAGCATTTAGTGTTGCCAGTCCTCCTGCACAGCTCAGTTCCATTGCTACCTCTTCTTTTTTTTTTTTATTTACCATCTTTATGTCCTGTGCTTTTGCAACTAGAGTGGAGTCAATTATAGTAAAATTTAGATGGATAAGCAGATTATTTGTCTTCACACCTGAGATCCAACACCCTCTATGGTACCTGGTTCCACATCACTGACTGCAGCAGAAATGGGAGGACATGTGCACGTAGTTCTTCACTCACGACCGTAACTGAGTCCAGGATTACACTTGTGAATCATTAAGGTCTTACGTCAAGGGACCCTGGTGACCAGAAGAATTTTTTTTTTGTGGCAGTTGTTAAGGAAACATCACAGTCATTAAGCAAACTCCATAGTTGTTAAGTGAACCCATTCATTTGAACGGGCAATTTTTGTGGGAAACTAGCAAAAAACATTGCAAATCACTGCGACGTAACCACAGAATGTCATCATGGGTTGTAAAGCTAACCCACCCAATATGCGCCCATGTGACTGTGGAGGGGGGGCAGTGAACCATTTGCAACAGACCACAAAGCACCCGTTCTGTAGCTGTCATAAATTCAAACAGTCATAAAGCAGTCAATAAGCAAGGACTATCTGTAGATATTCTTCAGTCCTCAAATTGCATTTACACACATGGCTGTGGATGATAGGAAGTTGTAGCCCAGGACCTAAAGAAGGAAGCACTTACCTGTGCAAAAAGGGCTGTCTTGGACATTCTCCAAAAGTAGAGCAATGTGCTCCCCTTTCCCTAACAAGTGAGACTCCATATCACAATCGCAAGGAAGTATTCGTGTTCATATTAATAAGTAATTCTGAGTCTGCACAGATAGATATGTCTTCAATTAGATTTGGCTCAATTACTCACTGGAATATTTGAGATGCTGTCATACTACAGTTTGATTACTGGGGCAATGTCACTGTAGAAACTGCAGTATCTTCCAAACCAGGAGGAAAATATATGGATTATACCAAATAAAAAACCCATATTTACTGTTTGGGCACAAAAAAAAAGATGACCATAGTATGGAAAGGGTAAGGCTAATACTACTAATATTACCCTAGACATTCTTCCATCACTGAAATGAATTAGACTACAATTCTCAAGAGTGACACCATCTGACTGTAAAGTGAGAAAAACCCACACAAGCCTTCCAGAGTAGTCATGGAAATTAGATTGACCACTGCATTTAAATGGACAATTCTTTCTTGCCACTGTTTGCACATTGCGGCAGCACACAACTAAGCTCTCACATGATTTATTAAAATCTGAAAGCCAACTGAGAAAACAAGTTGAGGGCTACATCATCTTGCCACATGGCCTATCTTTGAATCAAGCTGTATTATCATATTAGCAATGTCATTCCTCATAAACTGTCAACAGTGGAAGCAATAATGATTTCGACAAAAAAATGCCACACTTGGAATTAAATGGCTTCTACAATCAATAAACAAATCATTCTAAGCAACTGGTGGCTAATTCACTGGCTATAAATCAGAAAAGCACCAATGTACACTGCAATATTGGAAAGGAAAGGAAAGGAAAGGAAAGGAAAGGAAAGGAAAGGAAAGGAAAGGAAAGGAGAAAGGGATATATTTGCTATAGAGATCCACAATGAGGCAACTTCAAGATTGCAGCGCAGAAGCTGTTTTTCCTTAAATTTCAAAACCTAACCGGTAGAGTTGTATATAAAAAAGAGAAATTGTTTATTTCTTTATTTATTAAATTTATATGTCACCCACCTTCCTGATAAGGCAACTCTGGATGGCTTACAGAGCGTAAAAAAGATAAATAGAAAAGCAACTAAAAATTTAAACTATGCAAATTAGAATTTTAAAACATGCAAAAAACCAGGAACCAAGAGACGGACGGTACAGGGACGAGGTCTTCTTACCCTGTCATCCACCTCCAGCTGTGAGCA